TTTCGAGCCCTTTTAAATCTGGCTCTTCAGGCCTTTGACTCAATCTTACCAGGTCCGCCATAAAAACCTCTGGCTCTGATTGGAAGAATTGGGCATGAAATGCCTCTTCCATTTGTTGCCAAGTTTGGATTGAGCCAGGTGTAAAGTTAATGTACCACACAAATGCTCCTCCAGTTAGAGAATTTGGGAACAGTCTTAGCTTCATATAGTCATTATTAGCAAATTCACCGCATTGGGCAACAAACCTAGCAATATGATCTACTGTTGATTGGTTTCCATTCCCATAGAAAAGGGCGAAATCTGGTATCCTGAAACCTCTTGGGTATTCATGTACCCTATCTGCCCATTCTGGATATGGTTTTCTATATACAGGAGTCTGGACCCCCCGAGCCATCGGTCCACACATCTCCCTAACGATGTCAGCAATTTGGTCCCTAAGGACCATATTTTGTGCCTACTGAACCACTGCTAGAGGAACAAACACAGGATTTGGTGGACAAACTTGTGCTTGTGGTCCTCTTGGTCCATAAGGTGGTATGTTTGGGACTGGTTGTCCCTGTGGTGCAGGTTGCTGTTGGGGGTATGGGTAACCCTTTTGAATTTGTCCTGCGAAAGGTGCTGGAACTGGTGTTGTGTCTCTTCCATTTGTAGGAAAACCTTCCAACTCCCCGGGTATAAATTCGAATAAGGGATTAGTGAACCCCCTTGTGCCAGGTATGGCTTTGAACATGGGATTTGGAACCATTCTTACGCCATTTTCTTGTACTGGGCCAGTTCTACCAAATTGCATGGCTTCACTATTAAGTACTGAGACATTTTGACCTACTACAGGCCTTGGAACACGTTCGTACCAAGACTGAGGTGATGGTCTTTCATAGTTCTGATTACTAGTTTGACCATTAGAATGTCTATTAACTTGCATAGACTGTTTATCTCTAGCCAATCTTTGCTGAGGGACATTCGAAATTTCCTCCATGTGTCTTACGTTTGTTAACTGGTGGTTATTCATTCGATCCAAAAAGGATGTTGCCCACCTTTCCATTGTGTTCATTAATTGTTGTCCCATTACATCTATTAAGCCACCCCATGGATTCATTGGCTGAGTAGATGGGACAGTGGATGGTCCAATTCCTTGGTCTCGTCCAATATTTCGAACATATGGTACTTGTTTCTGGTCTGTTCGACCATAGGTTCTGATAAAATGGGAGTTTTCACAGGATGTGTTATCACATTATCCTCTGGATTAGGTATCTCTACCTCTCCTTCCACGCCTTCTTCCAAGCGTTCATTTTCTCCTTGTCTCTTACGTCTAGCCATTTCAATTGGTCCCACTGGGCGTGCCAAAAATATATGTTGGCTTTTTGGCTTTCGAAGGTTATTATTGTAATTGCGAGCGTGGCAGCAAGGATCAATCAGTCCTTACAGAAATTTAATTGCCAACCAATTATCATACGATTGTATTTTAGTTCTCTCAGCCTTAATGAAGAGGATTTTTAATGGTGGCTTGATTTAGGAGAATTAAGCAAAATATCAATCAAATAAAGAGCAACTGAAGCATTTCATTAGAATGAAAAACTTACAATGATTCAAACTCAGCCTCGTAAAGGTTTACAACGACAATCTACTTGAAACTACTCTTATGAATGAAGTGCAGTGCAGAATTTAAAGTACTGGAATGTAAAGAACAGGAAATGTAAAACTAAGTAAAGTAGAATAAGACTAGTTTTTGGATCTGAGTCCGGAGGGCTTTTCTGGGGCCTTCTCTGCTATTTATACTGCTTAAGGATGACCATCGAACTGTATTTCCAACCGTCGAACTGCTCCTCCATGAACGTTTATCATGTTGCCTCAAGATTAGCTCCATTACGCCATCACTTGCAGTTAGGCTTCCTTCCTAAATTTGAATTCAAATGTGAGTAACCAATGATGCCACATCACTTTGTATCTCTCTGCTGATCCACTGCTACTCAGATCTCGTAATAACCAATACTAACTCCCACGTGTACAATCAGGATTGAAGATTTGAATAGTCTTCCCGTACTGCCCTTACTTTGTCACGCGTCGAATTGTAATTGACTTGTACAAAATATATAGCCAACAAAAACAATTACATCTAAACCTACTAATTCAATAAACAAGTTTTAACAAATCGAATTAAATTGACAAATTAAAGAAATGAATCAACTTGTTCAACTTTTTTTTTTCTTCTTTTCTTTTTCTATTTAGGAGATGGGAAGGAGGGTAGCAGTAGTAGTGGTAGAGTGGCATCAGTGAAGTGATGGTAGAGGCAGAGGTGGTGGTGGAATGGTATCAATGGTGGTGGTAGTGTTAAACTATTAGAAAGTGGTGTTGGCCATATGCAAAAATACAGTTAGAGTATTGAAATAATTCATAATAAATGCAATTAGATGAATTGAAAGAACCAACCATTTTTTATTAATTTTTTCAATTTTAATGCTAATCATAAATACTTCTAATATATTTTTTAATCACCGTTTTAACCTTAACTTTTTGTAATAAAAAAAATAATCCTTTCTATTGACACTACAAGAAAAATGAGTTTTGGCGACACAATATTTAACGACGTTTTTTAAACGTCGCTTTTTTTAAATCAAAACGGCACCGTTTAAATAACCAGAGGCGTTTGAAAACGCCTTCGAATGTCCTATCTCTCTCTCTCTCTCGAAAATGGGTGAGCGGTGAATATAAAATATAATACATATTTTGTAGCCCTAAAATCTCACTCTCTCTCTAAACCGTCTGAACGTATCGATTCATAGCCCTAATCGAAGTTCTCTCTCTCGATTCATCTCTAAACCCTTATCATTCTCACAGATTCGTCTTTGAGATTCAAAGCGATTTCGATTTCGAAGCTCCACCTCCACCACCGTTTGCACCGGCTCGATTTCTCTTATTTCGATTTCATCTGACTCTGTAATTTCGATTTCGAAGCCAGACCGCCACCGCCATCTGCACCAGTGAGGTATATCTCTCTCTCTCTCTCTCGCTCTTCCTTCCCGTCTCTCTCGATTTGGTTATTGAAATTGAAATTGTAAGCAAGAAACTACAAGTTGATTTGTGGCTTTCTTCTTTTCTTTACTCTCTGCTTCGTTGAACTAGATTTAAGTATTTGCGTCAAGTCTGGATGTGTGTGTGAGAGAGAGAGAGGAGGAGGATGAGACCCAAGTAGTAGCATCCGTGGTCTGCCCCAAGGAAACGGTCTGCCAGGGGTACGTAACCTCCTTGTGTGCCACCGGCACATCCACCCTTTTTCCAAAACCAAATACCGAAAAGGGTTCAAATAAGTCCCGTGCCATCTTAGAGTTTCGCAACACAATTTACGTGAGAATTCTCAAAACCAGGGCTCACCCTGAACAATCGGTATTAACTGTCAACGCTTAATTTCGTACACTCTTTAAAACCAAGACTCACTCTGAGCAACTGGTATTGACCGTCAATTGTTAACTTCGTATATGCCGTTAATTATTTCAGTTAATTTTGATATTACTCACAAATAATTCTAATTTTTAATCATAATTGATGTTACACCAACTCATTAAAATTCCCAACATAAAATATTACACATGTCACACAATAATAAATAAATGTACAGCATTTAAATAAATAATTTATTTAAACCATGGTATGAAATAATAATTTAGATGCAGAGAAAATAAACCAAAGTAACACACGTGCATGGATTTTTAATTTGCAAGATTAGACTGCCACAATATTAAATAAACCACAATACACCCATACATGGATTACTAATTTACTATATTTGATGAATTGGACCAACACAATAACTGATTTTTATCCGAATAAATAATTGAAGTCATGATCTTAAACCTGTCTAGAAATTTTCAGGTTATACCTTAGGTAATAAAAATTATAAATAAATTATTTATACAGTTTTAAAATTCATGAAAATGTACAGGATATTCAATAAATATGTTTGAGTCATTTTTCAGAAATAAATTTCCAAAAATAAGTTATAAATAATTCTGTAAAATTCTCAGAAATTTTATGACACAGATTTATCACATTTCCTTAAATTAATTCCATACTTAAATTTTATAAATAAATTCCATGATCTAAAAATTTATTATGAAACTAGACTTCTCAAATTTCATTTTTTGCTTAGAAATTATCAGATTTGGTTTAATATAAAATTTTTAATGATTTTTCAAACACATAACAAAATTTGTCTATAGCTCCAGATTTGGTTAAAAATCTGTATAAATTCATACAGAACTCAATAATTGTTGAAAAATTTTGTGGATGAACTAGACATCATTATCAATAACTTTGTAGAAGAAATCATCTTCAAATTTTGAGTATAAAATTGTCTAAAAATTAGTACAATTTTCTGGCAAATTTAAAGAGCCAAATAACATCTTCAATAACCTTTTTAATAGCATAAACTACACATGCAAGTCCAAATTTGATGTACCATCATAAATTTTCATACAATTATAAATAAAATTTTATCTACAAGCTTAGACATTTTATCATATGTATATAATTTGAAATTTTCAAATATATAAAAAATGAGAGGGTTGAGAGGGTTTTCTTACTATGTTAGGTTGCTAGCGATTTATCGTCCGAATTTGATTTATGATTCTGATCGTAAGATATGACCGTCCTGGCTCCATGATCGTCTTGCTGAAATTTCACATTAATCGGACACGATCTCACCGTTGATCTTTCATTGGATTCTCTTGAAACCTTTAGTTGTTGATCATCATCTTAGACTTAGAATTTGAAAGATCTAACCCCAAAAATGGATTCTACACGTCGAAAAACCTAAGGGTGATCATCCCCAAAGTCATAGGACCACTCGATTAACCTAAATGTACTAGGATGCACCGTAGCACCATGGGCCGAGAAACACTGGATGAAATTTAGTTCATCTTCTCCAACAGCCCCAGCATGCACGACAGAGAGACCCAGAATTTTAGTTTCAATGTCACCAGTTCAAATGCTTGTATCTTCTTCATCTCTATGGCATAGGGTACGTCGACCAGTCCTACTCCATCGGGTTCTTCAGCAAAGACACTTTAACATTGACTCCCACCGATGTGTTGCCTAATTTCCGATTCGGCTGCGGCCAGAGCAACCGCGGCCTATTCGGTGGCGCCGCCGGATTATTAGGACTCGCGCGAAATCAATTGTCCGTCGTCTCGCAAACTTCTTCAATGTACCAAAAATACTTCTCCTACTGCCTTCCATCAACGTCGAGCTCAACCGGACACCTAACATTCGGAAAAGGAGGAACCTCTAGTGCCTTAAAGTTAAATTTCACCCCATTTTCCAGAAACTCAAAGAATCCATCGTTCTACTTCGTCCATATAACGGGGATCAAAGTCGGTGGACGGAAACTATCCATCGCAAAATCAGTGTTCAAGACCACGACATCGATCATAGACTCCGGCACCGTCATCACCCGCCTACCGCCGGCGATTTACAGTGCTTTGAGGGTGGCTTTTCGACAAAAGATGACGAATTATCCGATGACTAAAGGTTTGTCGATGCTTGACACATGCTATGATCTGAGCAACAACAAAACGGTGTTAATTCCGAAGATACGCTTTTATTTCCAAGGCAATGTGAAGGTTCCGATCTACCCGACGGGGATACTTTTCGGGCATAGTGTATCGCAGGTGTGCTTGGCATTTGCAGGGAATAGTAATGCTTCGGATGTGGGTGTTTTCGGGAATCATCAGCAGAAGACATTGGAGGTGGCGTATGATGTTACAGGAGGGAAGTTAGGGTTTGGCATTGGAGGGTGTTCTTAAGCTTAGCTAATTAACAATGGAGATAAGCATTTATATATATATTCAACATAACACCTGGTTTTTTTTTTTTTTTTGGATTGGATTTTAGTATAGAAAATATTAGGTTCCAGTGTAATTTGATTACAAAAAAATATAGAGAAAAATATAATAAAAATATCATAAGGTTCAGAAAGTAATATTGAGTAATAATATAAAGTCAAAAAAATATTTTATTTTATTTTATTTTGAATAAATGGTCAGTATAAAAATATATAGACTATTAAATTCAAAATATTATGAATAATTATTTAAGAAAATTAAAAATATATATTATTGTTATTTTTTTTATTATATAAAAATACGGGGTTTCACAAATAGTCAACAAAAACAAAATAGGTTAAAATAATCAATAAGACAAAATATCACATTCAAACTATAATCATTTCACTTTTTCTCTCATAATTATCAAAGCAACTACAAAAAAACTAACCAACTTTCGAAACACAATTTTTTTAATCAGGCTAAAATAGCCAAAAAACTAAAAAGTCAATTTCCCAAACGAGCCCATTATTGACTTGTTCTAAATTACATACTTTTATTATTGGGTAAATTACAAATACACCCCATGATGTGTGCTTAAAGTACAGATTACCTCCTATGGTTTGAAAAATTACAAATACCCCTTGTTAGAATTTTTTATTTAACATAATTAATTAAAAAAAATGAAATTCACAATTACTCTCCTATACAATAATAAAATTACCTAAATTATTAATTGAAACATATTTCTAATATCATAAAAAATTATTAATTGACTTGATGATTTATTAATAAAAATAATGATTTATTATGAAATTAGAAATCTCAACGAGTGGAATGTAATTTCCAAAACTACATGGGGCAATTTGTATTTTAACTAAACCTCAAGGGGTGTATTTGTAATTTATCCTTTATTATTTTGAATGTTATTTCAAAAACTTGGTTTACTACCGATAATTACACTTTTGGCGACGAACTTTGGCGATTAAAAGAAATTTAGTCACCAAAAGTTATACAATCAGCAACAAAAAATTACATTGGTCGGCATTGTTTACGGTTTTAGCTACTAATTTTTTTTAGTAGCCAAAAAATTATTATTGGCGACTATAAATAAATTTAGTCGCCAAATATGCCACAATTGGAGACTACAAAAATATTGGTCGGCGGTAATTTAAGGTTTAGGCTACTAAAATTTATTTTAAACATGGTATACTAATTTTTTCCGACTACAATAAATTTCTTAGCCAAAAAACTAGCTTAATGTTTGTTATTAATATTTTGCGACAACAATTGTGGTCGGCAAATATTTATTTTTGGTGACTAAATAACTTTTAATCGTAGTATAGTAATTTTTGTGTACTAAAAAAATTTAGTCGCCAGCTAAATAGCATAATTTTTACGTTTTATCTTTAGCAACCAATAAATTGGTCAGTAAAAATTAACTTTTCGTGACAAAAAAAACTTTAGTCGTGACCTCTTTGTTAAACAATAATATTTATTATTTTTATTATATATTAATAATAATTTATTACACCAAAAAATATTTGAGACCTCAAATAAAAATTTTATAATTTCATCCACAATGATATAAAATAGTAAATATAAAATTTTAATTTATCATATATTCAATTATGTAAAACTCTACCTCCTTTTCATATTTTTTTAAAGATTTCACATGTGAGTGTCTTAGACCATCTCCAACGGTAAACCAAAATTGATATCAGATTTAAATTTTGATGAAAAATATACTTTTTCATGCTCCAGCCGTTGCATCAAATGAATATCAAAATGAGAAATCAGCAAAAAAAGTATCAAACTGAGAACAAGTTCCGGATTTTACCAAATCACTGTTACTGACCGTTGAAAGAGATACATCGGTTGCCCGGCCGGTTGCCCGGCCGGTTGACCAACCGGTCAACCGGTTCCCTTTGAAATAACTAGGTTCAAACCGGTCAAAAAAGGTTCAAACAGGTAAAAAAAAAAAAAAAAAAAAATTGCCCAAACCGGTCGACCGGTTGGTCAACCGGCCGGTCGACCACCCGGTCGACCACCTCCCTAATTTTGCTTTGATGCTCACCGTTGGAGCGCCTCGTATCAAATTGAAAAAATCGTCATTTTTTTCATCAAATTTGATGAAAAAAGAAGTTAAGTGTTGGAGATGCTCTTACAGTAGTATATTGTGCCTCAACAAGCGCTCTTGGATCATTAGCTAGTATTTATCTTTTATTTATTTTTTTAATCATTAACATTTTTAAAAATAAAGTCAAAAAAAATAATAATCAAATCAATCACAAATATCTCCAATCATATAAATCGCCAGCCATCATTGGGACCCACAACTAACCTTTTCCTGTAGCAGTACTCTTTTCAACACGTGGCGCATATATATACGAACAACCCCTCCTCATTTTTCACGTGCACGTAACTGTCCTGTTTTAATCACGTTTTTTTTCCGCGTCTCTCTACGTCCCAATCGTAGCCCCTTGTATGCATCAATTTTTCTTTTACTTCAAACTCATAGTCACCACTCCACTCAAACACACCCCACCTATATATACATATTAACATTATTTTTAGTTCTGCATGTAAATTACTTATGTTGGAAAAAATAATTTTTGGAACTTTAATTTAATATTAAAGTGTGGTGATTTTAATAAAATAATTTTTGGAACTTTAATTTAATATTAAAGTGTGGTGATTTTAATTAAATATTAAAGTGGATCTTAATCATTTTTTATGTTGGGTCCAAGTGAGTCAAAAATCATTGGGTTTTGAATAAGAAATTGCCAAGAAATTACTTCATGATGTTAGATTCATGAATAGGATTTTAAAGAGTATGTAAATCTTTTTTCTTGTCTAAAGGGTGTGAATCCTTTGGGCATCCATACTTTTCATTTTGTGAAAAGGGACTATGGATGCTTGGTGTTTTAATGACTAGCCTTAAAGGCTGGAGGCTTTTCCTCTCTCCCCTATACATGTATAAACTGAGACCCTCCTGTCAAGTTTCAATATAGAAATTTTTGCTTCCATTTTACAAGTCAGTTTGCTTGACAGTTCCTATGGTGAGAGAGTGCTGCCATTGTTTTGTTCGCTAAGCTAGACAGATAGTGCTTCTGCCGTAGCTGGTTTTGACCGTCGTATCCTGGGAGACAGACGCCGGGTTTCCTCAAGCACTCGACCCGTGAGGCGGCGAAATCTGTTTTAAGGAAACTGCTTCCGTGCAGGCTTCGGTTTTTTGTTAGATCAACAAGGTAAAGTTAGCACAAATTGAAAGGAGAAATAAGTATTTTAGAGGATTTCACCATTTTCATTCATTCCCCCTATATCTCTTGCTAGGTCTGTTTGAAAGTATACATGTGTTCTTGGTATATAATTTGTTTTCTTCATAAATCTATTTATTTAATTTCACAATATGGTTCAACAAGGTTAAAACAGATTTTATATATCTTTTCTATGAAATTGATTGAATAGATTTATATAGACTATTAGGTTAGCTTTGTATAATGTTGCTAGGAATTGTTACGGAATTGCTCACTATTTCAATAATTGTAAATTATGCAATGGTACTCTCTAATTGCTTAGTTTAATTATAATGCTCTATTATAATTTGCCTACTTAATTGTATTAGTATAATCTTGTTTTATGCGTATGGTTCATCATTTCCCTACCATGATTTGCATGAATTTTAAAGTTATAAAATATAATTTATAGATGTTGCAATTTTGACATGCTAATTCTATTCTAGTCTCAATTTGTTACATGCTTATTATTTTCTAGGCTAGATTACATAATTTAATGTATTTGGAGTTATAAACTTTTATGAATTGTGTACATGATTAATCTAAATTATCTAATTGGGTGCATTAATCTAAATTATTTATTTGGGTGCATTAATCTGAATTATTTAATTAGGTGCATTAATCTGAATTATTTAATTAGGTGCATTAATCTGAATTATTTAATTGGGTGCATTAACTTTGAATTTGACTTATCGAGTTATTAGTTTAAATGTTTATTATGAATTAATTTCATTTATGACTCATGAGTATTGAGCTTTATTTTAAAGTTGTAATTTAATTTTGAAGTTACAAATTGTATTTTGTTTTGGTACTTTATATTAGTTGGTTACTTATATAATTAATAGTTGGCTAGATGGTTTCAATTATTTATTATAATTAAATTTTTTAGATTATTTGTTTGTATTTTGTTGTGGTTTGCTACTAATTTTCTTTGTAGGGATACTAATGCGAAAAACAAATATAAAACCAAATGAATAGGATTTGGGATGTAAAAACAAAAATGTTTGAAGCATGTTTTGCTTGAGATGTAATTTATTTGTTTATCAATTTGTAGTAGCAAGTTTTATTTGCTTATATTGTTGTAGCAATGGTTTTACATTGCTTGTAGAAGTTTTGGACCCTGGTTTGCTTTAACCTAGTTCATCCCTAAGAAAATTTAATTCTTAATTTGTTTATCACGGACTAGGAGTCAACATGCTATTAAAAGTTTTGTCAAATGGTTAACTGGGTTTTAAGTGAGACCGATGTGACCCCTCCAGTCTTCCTGGAAACTTTCTTGACCATGTTCGATTCTGGGTTTTGTGGTGAGACTAATTTTTGAATTAATTTTTCTTCTAAGGGATTTTCTAAGGGTTAAGTTTAATTTCTGGAAACACAGAAGTGATATTCTGGTGTAATTTTCCGAAATGGAAACTATCACTGATGCTGCTGCTACTGCTAATGTTAGTGGGGATTTGAACCCCGGGGCAACTGGATTGCCAACCCCTACTGCTGTGACCTCTGTGGTCAACCCTGGTGTTACTCCGGCTGCTCCGGGAGGACCGCTTAGTCACCATCAGCGCCCAGAAAAATTTGCTGGGAAAAACTTTAAGAGATGGCAGCAAAAGATGCTGTTTTACTTGACTACGCTAAACCTTGCCAAGGTTCTGAGTGAGGATCCTCCAGCCGTGGCAGAGAATGAGCCTGGCAGGCAGAAAGCTATGGCGCTTGACACATGGAAGCGGACAGACTATCTTTGCCGGAACTATGTG